TGCCATTACAAAAGTGGCAACGAGTTTTCAATACATGACAATATATATATATATATATATATGTGTGTGTGTGTGTGTGTGTGTGTGTGTGTGTGTGTGTGTTGGGCACCTCTACGTGGTGTATTTTTAGAAAGCTTGTCTTTCTAGATCAATTAGGATTGAGTAGTGCCCCATACATTCGGCCTTGTACCACATCTAAGCCGGGCTTTAAAAAAACAATATATATATATATATATATATATATATATATATATATATATATGTGTGTGTGTGTGTGTGTGTGTGTGTGTGTGAAGTGACGAAATATTACGAACCTCCTTCACAAAATCAAAAGCAAATCATAAAAGATAAGTATTCTGGGAAAGAATTTTCTTGATCGATCTGATATAAGTTTCAAAAACTCTTAGTTCATATATTTTTTATAAGAGACAGGAAGCTGTAGATAGCCATTATCTACATAATTATTATAAACTTTATATTAATGTAAATTCTATATTATATTAGTTATATATATATATATATATATATATATATATATATTGTTATATGTAATATTTATCTATGAATAGATAATACTGTTTTTTAAGCAATGGTATTAATATCTAATGGCATACATATCACAAGTCGTATTAAAGTATAGGTGCTTCTCGTCCGGAATCGGACCCCTAGGGCATTTGATATCTAGGTGTTCCTCTTGACTGAAATACTTTGAGATGAGGAAGACATTGGAGTAAACCAAGTTACATCAATCCTATTTAAGAAATGCAATTCTATTACTGGGGCATATCGATATCTCTTAACTTTATTTTCTTACCTGAATCATAAACTATTTTTAATTAGAGGTTATATTTTTATTACTATAAACATTGTATCAAATAATCACAAATTTCATGCTCAATTTGAAAATTAAAAACAAAGTTTTACATGCTTAGAAATAAACATTTATTAGTCAGGTACATATTTTTTATTGTCATTAACGACTATTCCCCATTATCGTTTTGCAAGAAATGTCAAAGCATTTTTCATAGTAACTTTGTGAGTTAGATTTCAAGTAAACTTAATTTTTTGTCATTTAAATTGTTTTAGAGATCATAGCAAAAGAAAATCTGAAGGAGTCATGTCAGAAGAGAAAGGTTTGTGTTGGTGTGTGTCTTCTTTCAATTCTTTAAGGCTGCAAGATCTGTTTCGCAACATCCGGTCTTGCGTTGTCGTGGTGGAAAATTACACTTTCTCGATTTTGCGAACATCGGCCGTTTTTCTTTGAACAGCTGCAATGAGATTCGAGAGATAGTCGCAATAATTCTTTGCGGTTATTGTTTCGGCTGTTAAAAGATGCTCAAAGTAAATGGTCCCTCTGCAATTCCACAAAAAACGGATAGCAATACCTTCACCGGATGTAAGCCCGATCTGGCCAAAGATTATGCACATTCACAAGCACGTTTCCACTTCCGTTTTCGTCGAACGTTATCATAAATGATCAATTTTTCATTGCTTGTGGCAATTCTGTCCAAGAACGGAGTAACATCAACGAAATCCCCACAGAGACAGAGTCGGAATTGTTCTGTCCTGTCAGATAATGTGGCACCCACGTGTTGAATTTGGAAACGAGTTTCTTCAAGGAGCGAAAGACAGTTGAGATATCAGTTTTCAAACTCTTAGCAATCTCTTCCGTTTTCATTGATGTCGGATTGTCGCCCGGATCGGGGTTGAATTTTTAAGCTAAAATCACCCTGACGAAATCTGCCAAACCACGTTTCTACAAGCTGGACAGGTGGAGTACCGTACAAAAAAAAACCTTCTGAATGATTTTGGTGTCAGTTCTGGCGAGTAGTCCTTTCCGAAAATCATAAAGCAAAATATGACGAAAATGCAACTTTTCATCCTTCATCTTTAAGGCATTCACTTATGGACAAAACGCCAACATTTAACAAATTCTGACGCACAAGTGAACGATGAAAGTTTTCAATGTACAGCACACCAGAAATAGAAAAACAAACACAAGTTACGGTCATAATATTTCAGAATTCAGTTGGAGATGTTATGAATATAATGTTGAAGTACATTTTAGAAGGAACCAGAAACCTAATCCAAAACAAAGAAAAAAGTTATGTGCTTCTACTTCTGTTCGAAAGACCGGAGAATAGTGTGAACAGGAGGAGAGGCAAACCTATCCATTAAATATAAATAATAACTCTTCATAGCAGAAACACAGACAGAAACCTACATTTTTATTTCATCTCTCCACGGATAATAGTTATTGAAATATATACAAATGTTATTCACCGTAATCTTTATATATATAGTGAATTCAATTTCAACTTCCGCTTATGAGTGATTTCCCCTTAATGAATATGTAAAGGTGAGATAGCCGTCCCTTTTAAAGAAAGAGTTGACATTCAATGACGGAACACTTAATATTACTGTCGGTTGGAATTTAGAAGATAACCAACATTTTCCACTGATATGAAGTGGATAATGAATCCGTTGCTAGGTCCTCTGCTAGGAAGGCTGGGTCACTCTTTCGTGCTAAACACTTTTTCTGGCCAGAATCTTACGTATTTATAAGTGTATCATTTGTCCTTGTTTTGACTACTATTGCCACATCTGGTCTGGTGCTTCTGCTATAAATTTAGAGATTTTTGATAAGATCTTCAATCTTGTTAGGCGTCTCGGCTCCAGTCACTTTTCTAACGCCATATTGTGGCTTTCCCGTACCTTTTCTATAAATGCTTTTATGGTAATTATTTTGCTGAAATTTACTCTATTATGCCTAAATTTTAGTGCTAGATTGATAGAAAGTTTCTCGTCATTTTAAATGGCTAGTAGTACTCGTAAGTCCTATTTTTCTGTTGAAAATCTTCAAGAGCTGTGCTTTCTCTTATTTGGTAAAGTTCTTCGTGATTCTGACGGCCAGTCAACGAGATCTGTTGAAGAATACGGGCTACATTCTCTCGAAGCCATTTTAATGATTGATCTGAGAAAGCGGTTGTATGCAGTTGACAGTTTAGTCATTCGTGAGTGAGTTTGAACTCATGTATGGCGTCCATACGAGGGTCTTGATCTGACGAAGCTATTAAAGAACATTAAGTTCATAGGTTAATGTCTTATTTTTTTTAGCGTCTTGTGGTGTTTGAAAAATTGCTCCTAGTTCAGGCTGTCGTATATTCAATTTCTTTAAGTCCTATAGTAAATTTGTAATTTCCAAGATGGATTCAGTTTAGGTGTCATCACCGCCTTCATTTTAATTGCCACAGTTTCTGTTTTGTTTATGTTGAGTCATATTTCCTGGATCTCTTGTAAAAGAATGGTAACTTTTGACTACCTATGCCATCAGCATAAACCCGCTCATCATAAGTACACTAACCTTGCAAGGGAAAACTCGAACGCGGTTTTGTATTTGTTTATTCGTTTAGGATGTGGTATGGAATGCTTAAATAAAGAATACCAAGCCCGTCACATCTGTACACGTGAATAACATAGTGATTAAATAGTTTACGGCTTTCACTTCCTTGTCATATTTCTGATGCGATTTGAAATGTTTCAGTCTTTGAGTCTTTACGATAAATTACGATATACAAGTTTGTGGAGCGATTTATTTCCTATTTAAATGTTTTTTTTATTGTTGTTCACTCAGGAGCCACGCAAGTTAGACGATTACTCAGAGGTTGTTGGAAGGGTGTACAAGAAATATGAAGTTCATATTACAAGCATATGTAAGGTTGATTAATGTTTATACTTTGTTTGAAGAGATTATGGTTGTTGTTTTCGGTGAAGCATGAAAGTCATTTAGGGATTGAAGCTGTGAGGATAACTTACTACTTACCTGTAGAATGGGGTTCAGTAGCATCAGAATCGTTGACACGGCATCTGTGAGCCATGAAACGTCTGACTAGTAGAACTAAGGAAGATATTTGCAATGAAATAGCAATAATGTAGCTAGAAGCTATCATCGCTTCAACTGCCGGAAAGGGGTTGTAGGATGTAAAATAATTCACCACCCACAAGGCCGCGTATACGCTTTTAGAGATTGGAATGTCCAGATAGAGTAGCTCTAGTTCATTTATTATCCTTAATTCCAGGGATTGGCAACCCACGGCACGCGTGCCGCATATGACACGCCAAGAAATTTCCAATGGCACTCAGCCTCAAATGACACCAAGCCCGGACCAGTAACTATCACACGACAAAGAAGATATTTAGCAGTTTCAATTTTAATATATACTAAAGTATATTTACTATATATTACTATCTAAAATATATTGTAGAACAGGTATACTGACCTTGACTTGTATAAAAATACGTATCCTATTGGTACATTGAATGATTTTAAAACCCTAAGTCGGCACATAGTTAGCAAAATCCCTGCTTCATTAGATCTATATATTCAATGGAGAAGGTGGTTGGATGACTGTTTCTGATGTATTACAAAAGAAGACTCTATTGATATCACCATATACTATTGTGAGATGAGGGCACCCCGAGGCGATGTAATGGTTAACAAGCTTGTCTCTCTAGAACAATTACGAATGAGTAGTGAGACTGATCCGCACTGGGTGCTCCATACTTTCTGCCGTGTGCCACATCTAAGCTACGCTTGGAAAATCACTATGCTGTTTGAAGATGAACATTGCATGTACAGAAATTTCTATTCAAATATTACTATATAAATGCTTTTATATTGCTAACCGAGCGAGTATGGACTTCTTCGCTCATGCTTAGAACTGATTTAATTCTCACATCTATGGCGAGTAGCTTATTTATGTCACAAGGTCGAGGTTAAGGGGCACCCATTGAGTATCGAACTCACTACTCAGTTGGTCTAGGGAGACAAGCTTGCTAACCATTACACCCCGTAGAGGGGCCCTAATTCGTATATCTCTGTATAGTAGAAGGAAGTGGACTAATACCTCAGTGCCTAGGGTAGGCTGTATTTCCGATGATATCAAATGGCAGGATAGTTTCCGAACATATCTCGTGTTTTTACTTCTAAGTGTCACGCAATGAAGACAAATATACAGAGTCCTCTCACCGGTGAGCTCTAAGAGAATCAACAGAAGACGGGACATAACTCATGAATTTAGATGAATGTATAATTCAATCAGTCACAAAAGTGTGACTTCTCTTGAAATTAATGCAGCCAAGTATTGACTTATGGCTTATCTCATCAGCTAAAATATTTCCTGCTTTTCTCTAATTCTAAATCATTTTTGTATGTGTGTGTGATGACAGCGTCCTTTTGTCGCAAAAGTAAATTCTACCTCAATCTTTCCTTCTGAATATATCATTACCTATTTTTAAGTGACATTCTTATTAAATTAGACGGAGAAAAGTTTCCGTCTATGAATAACTGACTATTTGCTCACCGTCGACGACTTGTGGTTAAATCACGAACTTCATTTCTGAAACGAGGCTCTGTTTATGAATATGCAATGACGCTTCCGGGTCTATTTCCTGTTCCGACGTTTCGACGACTACGTTGTCCAAATTTAAGCAGCTATCTGTCATATTCTATTCCATTTCAAAACCTTATAGGAGAACTCTTTATTCCATTCAGGATCATTTTCTAATACGTGTCATGTATGTTCGTGACTCGCCACTACTTCCCTTCCTTTGTAAGGCTTAGCGATATCTTTTACGAAATGTCTCACTCTCTGATCGTAATTCATTTTTTTAAATCAATTCACGAAAAGTAAAGCGATAAAACCACTAAGATTCAAGTGACTAGTGGAAGTGAAAGAGAAGCGTATAATAGTATAAATTGCAGTGTTTCGGTGGAGTCGTTAGAAGAATAGAGTTAAAGTTGAATTTAAGAGGAACCGAAAACGTAATCCTAAACAGGAAACAAGGGATAAAACTCTACTCTTGTTAATAAAAACGAGGAGGAATGTGAAAACCCAAATTAGTTAATAGGCCACATATTGTATTTTTTGGCTTTATTTCTTTCATTGCTTCGTGAATTTTGTGGGGACTGATAGTGGAGGTACTTTCTGTTGACTTATTCACTAGAGTTTTATTGAGAGACAAAGTCTACTAAGTTGGCTGTTGACGTAACGAAACAATAGTGAGAATGATAATTAAAATAAACTACCTACTACTTGTTTTCGCGCCAGAGTGTAGAGTTGATTAGAGAGGAAATAACAAATTAATAAAAGCTACTATCAAGTTAAAGCCACTTTATTTATGGTGGCCATATCCACATTTGTATCAAATCTATTACACTTCCTAAGAAATTCCGGAACTAGAAACTCTTCAGTTCTTCGGATCCTGCTGGATTGATTCATTGGAGACGCCTTTTATTTTATTATACACGGTTTCTACTCGTGTGTTCTGTAGAAGAGAGATTAATTTCCTTAGCGATACTCTCAACTAGACAATGTTCGTTTGCATTATCTATCTATCTATCTATCTATCTATCTATCTATCTATCTATCTATCTATCTCTCCCATTTTTCATATTTATCCCAGTTTTTCATATCTATCTATCTATCTATCTATCTATCTATCTATCTATCTATCCCATTTTTCTCATTTTATCCCAGTTTTTCATATCTATCTATCTATCTATCTATCTATCTATCTATCTATCTATCTATCAGAGTTTTTCATATCTATCTCAGTCATTTCATATCTATCTATCGTTCCTAATTTTTCATATCTATCTATCTATATATCTATGTATCCGACTTTTTCATATCTATCCCAGTTTTTTTTTCATATCTATCTATCTATCTATCTATCTATCTATCTATCTATCTATCCCAGTTTTTCATATCTATCTCAGTCTTTTCATATCTATCTATCTATCTATCTATCTATCTATCTATCTATCTATCATTTCTAGATTTCATATCTGTCTACCATTCCTTGTATTTTTATATCTATCTACCTATCTATCTATCTATCCCAGTTTTTCATATCTATCCCAGTTTTTTCATATCTATCTATCTATCTATCTATCTATCTATCTATCTATCTATCTATCTATCTATCTATCCTATTCTGTTCGTATTATCTATGCATCTTTAGAGACATTTTTTCATAAGTACATTTACAAATGATAATCTACGTAGGTTCGATTTCATTTTTACTCACATATACAATGTTTGTTATGTGATATTCTTTCCACGTTCTCCTTGAATAGACATTAATCTGTAAGTTCAGAATAAAGCTCATTACATTCATTGTAATGCTCTGACGGAACGCCGAAAGTGATGATTTGTCAGAAGACAAGAAAAATGTACCCGCTCTACCCAATAAAGAGATTACACAAACTCTCGAGTGGGACTTCATTATTGTACGTTTCAGTTTCCATATTAAGCTTTCGGCTATCAGGATGCTCGTTGCGTTCAACCTGCACGATATTCAAGATTCAAAAAAGTAAAATTACTACTTATTCCATCACGTGCATCATCCAACGAACTAATTTATTTTATTCAAAATGATTTGAATGACGACCTCAAGCTAATCATTTGTGACTTAGTAGTAAGAATATTTAGAAATATATTTAGAAATGTGCATTTTTGTGGTTGCCTTTACATAGTTGCATGGTTATGGGTCAAATTCGAACCCACGTAAATAAGCATGGAGTCATTTAGAACTGATATTGATTCTTTCTACATCTATCACATCCTCAATGGAGAGTTAATTTGGACTTGTATTTATATTATTCGGGCTGTTATCCTCATTTTCATTGCCATATTCACAACGTTTCTGCCATTCTACGCTCTGGCCTTTATGCTTATGTCTCTCGATAAATCTGTCTATATCTCTGTGATGAGATATTATGATTATTTGTATTATTTAATTCTTCTCTTATCCTTGCTATATTCAAAACGTTTCGGCCGTCGTAGTCTCATGCCTTCTTCAGGTGATTATAATTTCGAACCGAATACTTTATTTCGTCCACCCAAGTTCACTATTCTAATTCCCTGTGCCATGCCTCTTCCGGATGTTTCAGTTATTTCCCTTTAACTCAACTCTCCAAGTTTTTGTTTCACCACTGCTGTGGCCTGGAATTGAACTCACGACTCTTTGGGTCTAATCACTAAATCTAACCAACGCCTATATCCACTTTTATTCGTACAACGACCGAGACGTTGTGAATATGGCAATGAAGATAGGATAGCAGTCCGAATAATATAAATACAAGTATTCATAATACCCTATCTCAGAGATATAGAAGGATATTATATTTTTATTCAGACAAAAACAAAACGACTAACAGTATTGGATGGAAAGTATAACGGCTATCTGCTTAGAAAGTGGAATCGGCGAATCGAGTTCAAATACTGGTCTAGTCTTTTAGATTAACTATCGAACTATTATGCTGGAGAAATATATGAATCCTCTTCTTCCTCCGCTATCGCTTAGATAAAACGAAGATTTGACATTCTAGGTTTAGATGGAAAACTTGTCTAAGGCAAATAAAATATTGAATTGTAAATGATGGCGAACACGACAGGAAACTATTAGAGACTGAAATTAAAATACATTGAATAAAAGAAAAATTGTACCAATGTTAAAAGTAATTGTATACAAAAATATTACATTATTAACTACACGCAAATTTCTTGTACATTTTTTTATCAGTCGCGTGTTTATCGAATGAGCGTAATACCTTGCCACATTTCTTTAAAAAATAAGTTTTCTCACTAAATTTTATTAGGTAAAAGATTTTGTCATGTACATAATACTCTTAAATTGAAACCTATAATTATACCAGATTTAATATTAGATGAGTGGTTTGGATAGAAGCTGACGATTTTTGTTGGCAACTTTTCTATAATCGTCAAAATTAAGTTCATTATTGTTTTTTGTGTAACATGATAGCTAGCCAGAGAAGAGTGTTGTTGGTTTCAGTTTCAAAAATGAAGTCTCTTGTAGTTTCAACATTCTTAAGTTGTCTGACAAGATCTGTTAAATTATTATTAAATTAGTAAACCAAATTATTGTCTATAAATGCGGTTATCAAAAGGAAAGAAAAATTGCTGCGTGATTAGCTGGAATATTTTTATGATTTTATGTATTGGTAGAGGTAATTTTATTTCTGTTTTCGTTAGGTGTATTTTTAGTAATGTAAGGCATTTCTCTATAGAGACATTTGTGCCAAATAAAACTAGCCAAATAAAATTTGTTTTTGAGGTGTATGTTTTTAATTTGTTTTGAATACCACCCGCGTTTTATATGCCGGATAGTTAATGTGGGGCACTGCCTATCCCTGATATTATTGGTCTCTGATATGTTCGGGTTAAGTGTCTTTGGTAATACGTATAAAGTGGGTGTTTTTTTTTTCAATATCAGAAGATATCTTCAGTACTTTTAGTAACATTTTTATATCACTTGTGAATTATTGTGTTTCTTTTGGCTTCAGTCACTTTCCCATCGCCGTAAAATAGCTCGCCTGGCCCTTTTCTATAAATACATTAATGTTAATAAATTTCATAGATTTTCCTCTATGCTACGCAAACTTCGAATTCAGGCGATTAGCAATAAGATTTCATAATTTTACAGTTAAATTGGCTACATGTAACCGTAAGATCTATGCTAACACTTTATTCTTTTGCACATCTCGCTTTTTGCTTCCCAGTCAATATTGCTGTCAATCGTTATCTTCTGTCTTTGAATTCCCTAATTTTATTGTTTTCTCTCCTTAATAGCTTTTTTAATCGTATTCTCTCACAAACGTTAACCCCTTGCGTATTAGTATTGGCTTTATTGCTTTTCTTGGGGTGAAATGATTAAGAATGTAAAGTGGGTGTTTGGAAAACATCCTAAGAATTTGAAAGAGTGTTTGGAATGGAAACCAATATTGAGGACTTCCAGAAAACTGCAAACAGTTATTCTGAGAGAATTCTCCAAAATGTTATTGAGTTTTGATGAATTTTCTTGATATCATGTCACAAGAACTCATTTTTTGCTGACTACATCATTGTGCGACACCAACATATTAAAAGAATTATAAATAGTATTTAGATGGTATACAATAGGTTTTGAATTAAAGGTCTGTAAAGAATAAAAATCATATCTTTGATACAACATAATATATTGTAATCATTTTTTAAATACTTGTGTTACTTATTTTCAGTGATTCGAACCATATCTCAGACCGAGAATGTATAAAATATATATATACTATTTTATTAACACTATTATGTCTTACGGTCTTCATTGCGTATATGTCGATCGGGATAATCTATAGGGAATTAAAAAAATTGATCCTTTATTTAATTTACAACGTAAAAATAGCCTAATAGATTAAATCATTGGTTCATGAATTCGAAGACATAGTAACATTGTGAGTTTAATACCTAGACTGAACTGTGTGTACATGGACTCAGTTAAAACGGAGTGAGCAATAACTGAACATTAATAAGAAAGAAAAAAAAAAGAAGAACTAGACAAGATATGGTGAGTGGAACGAGGACGGTCTGCCCTCCGTAGATTAAATAAAAAAGTTCATTTTGTAATACTTTCTAGTTTACCAGGCTGATGAAGACCAGAAAACACCCGAAACGTCCTGAGATGATGACAATAGTTATTATGTTGAAAGTGTAAATAATGATAGGAGAATGAGCTTTACGTTATTCGGACTATTGTCCTCATCTTTCTCGCCATATTTATCACAACGTTGTACGCGCCGGCATTCTTCAGATGATTGGAATGTCGAACTGACCCCTTTATTTCGCTCACTGGGTTAGGCTGCTCTTTTTCCACGTGCCATGTTTAATGGATGTCATGTCAGTTATCAGTTAGCTCCCGTTAATTTCCCTCTGAATTTTCTCCACTGCCTTAACTGGGTATTGAACTCACACTCTTTAGGTTCTGTCACTGGATTTAATTAACGCATTTATCCACTGTGCCATGTGTCCTTGAGGACATCTGTGTATAGATTTCTGGGTATTATAAACCTAATATCTTCATCCAATAAAAATAGCTACAAGCGACACCATCACTTCTGTCTATATTTCTGAGATGAGGTATTATGTACATTATTTAAATTATTCGAATTATTGTCCTCATCTTCGTCACCATATTTATCACAACTTTCAGTCGTTGTACGCTCCGGCCTTCTTCAGGTGGTTGGAATGTTGAACTGAACCCTTTATTTCGCTCACTGGCTAGACGATGGTCTAGTTCCACTTGCCATGTTTAATGGATTTCAGTTATCAGTTATTTCCTGTTAATTCCTTCTCTCTGCCTTAACCGGCTATTGAACTCACACTCTTTGGGTCCAGTCACTGGATCTAACCAAGGCATTTATCCACTGTGACATGTGTCGATGAGTTCAATACCCGGTTAAGGCAGTGGCGAACCTTCAGAGGGAAATTAACAAGGAGATACTTGATAACTGACATCCATTAAACATGGCACATTGAACTCGAACAGTCTAATCCAGTTAGCGAAATAAAGGGTTCAGTTCAACATTCCAACCACCTGAAGAAGGCCGGAGCGTACAACGACCGAAACATTGTAACAAAGATGAGGACAATAGTCCGAATAATGTAAATAATTCTTATTATGTGTAAGCAGACATTTTGTCTACATCCTATGTACACAAGTTTTGATTTGTATTTTTCAGTCAGCAAATATAGATTCCTATAAATATCTCTTTTGTATACAGCTCTTGTAAGTATCTTATAAAATATAACATTTGAAATTAAAAGAGTACCACGTATGTTGAGACTGGCAGTTGTTGCTGCATGCGGTGACATCTTCGTTCTATTTCTGTCTGCTGTCAAGATACAAAGGTCGTTCACTTTAATTAAGATCTGTGTTCTGCAGCCATCTCTAAAAGAGTTTAAAATCTGTCTGGAACGTAACATGCGTCATGTATTGATTGAATAATGTTCATTGCAAGTCATCTTTTTTTGTAATAACGATTAAGTATTCATTATTTATAAAAATGGCACATGGTTGTAACCGAATATGGTGGCAAACTCCCCGGCTTGGCTTGGTTTGGCTTGGCTCACCTACACATTGAAAGACTAAAGTAAAACCTTTTTGAATACATAAACGCAGACAAGAAATCAATGTTTTAAACAGATTTTTTTTCATCACA